AAGGGAGCCCAAAACCTGTCGTTAAGTGAGATGTTTGTAAAGCAAATTTTGCGCGCCCCCCCCCCATTTTACAACCTTTCTTGCCAACTGTTGTTCAGTGAAGCACTGCAGCTGTTAAATTAGTAACCCGATTAATTGAATCTGGCTTCCTCGTTGGCTTTGCTGGTCAAAAGGTCACAAATTGCATGACCCCCAAGACATCGCAAGTATCATAACTAAGAGTCAGTGGCCAGGTGCCTGAATTTTGATCAGGTGGCCCGGGGGATGCCTCAACAGTCTTAAGTGTGACAAACGGTCATAAGTCACTTTTTTTCAGTGCCATGGCAACTATAAACGGTCCCTAAATGGCTTATTGTAAGTCGGAGGACTTCCTGTATTTGTTTCTGCATTCCATGGCTGCTTTTGGATGGCAGCCCTACAACCCTGTATGGCTTCAGGTGGTTCACCATTGTGATATGGATTCTTCTCCCTTGCCGCTCCTGTTTTAGGCAATGTGCCAAGGATACTAACTGGGTGTTGTAAGGAGTGTTGTAACAACATGCAAGATGTTTGCAGGCACGCTGCTGTGTTTACCCAGGAAGTTAGGTGCTTTCCTTCTTCCTTGGATGTCAAAAAAAAAAAAAAAGGTTGGGCCATCCTATGCCAGACTATTTAGATCAGGGGTGTCAAACTCACGTCACAGCAGCATCACATGATATATCGGGACTTTTTCCACTTTGCTAAACTGGGCATGGCCAGACTCTGACACATCTGGCCTGTGGGACGGGAGTTTGACAGCCCTGGCTGTCCAGTGGTTAGAAGGCAGGCTAACTCACTGCTCATTGCCTGGAGTTTGATTCTGACCAGCTCAAGGTGGACTCAGCTTTCTAACCCTCCAAGGTCAGTAAAATGAGGACCCAGATGGTTGGGGGAAATGTGCTGACTCTAAACTGCTTAAGAGAGGGCTGTAAAGCACTACAAAGCGGCATATGTCTTACGTGCTGTTGGAAGAAACATCCTTCTGGGTTCATTTCCAAGTGGGGAAAAAGACACTGGATTCATGGAAGTTGCTTGGAATGAAGGTTTAATGGTGGACAGGACCACATGCCTTGGAGCTCCTGGGCGAAAAGGGCAGAGATGCTGAGAATCCCCTGGTTTCATAGCCTCTGTTGGGCCCCACCTTAGTGTTTCCTGTTCCTGTGTAAGAAATGTATCCCATTGGCTGTCAGACTCCCAGGGGCGGGGGTCTTAGCTAACTTTGTAGACTTTGTCTGGACCGCATGGCTTCACCTGAGTGCTGGCTAATGCAGTCTTCCCAGGTGCCATGTGGCAAGATTTTTCCAATCTAATCTGCTACCATTCAACTGCCAGCCTATAGCACCATCTGGTGGTCAAGTAGAAATTTCACAGAATTCAAAAAAGATTTTTTTTTCTTTTTTCAACTGATCTACCCCACCTCGTGGCCAGTAATGAAGTTGCAGGAAGTTTCGTAAATTTAACCAGTAAATTCTATTTTATGTAACTCCTGTCGAAACGCCTAGTAACTTAATTCAAAGGGTCCAGCACTACCTGCAGCCCAACCTGTGCTTAGCAACAGTGTCTTCCAGACCTAGCAAGTACCACTAACAGGCAAATTTGTGTTCCGCGCCAATGTCTTTCAGACTTTGCAAAGCACCCTATAGCGCCAACTTCTGTAGCAAGCAACACTAACAGGCAAATTTGTGCTTTGCCCCAACGTCTTCCAGACTTTGCAAAGCACACCAAAAGCAGCCAAATTGTGTGCTGTGCTAGCACCGCAGCGCCACCTACGTGCTCAAGTATTAAACTTAGCAGAAACTCCTACGTTCTGCTACCTGCGTGCAGTGCACCCTACTGATTTCCAAACTTCACCTTTTGCCAATTTGAAGTATGGCAACTTCTTCCGCCACGACAGATGTCTCTGATGTACCAGAGGACTCGAACCCTCCACCCACCCTTGATGTAAACGTGGAGCCTGGTTCCCAAAACCCTCATCCGGACATCCAAACCTCCGCAGACATGGTGATACCTCAGAAAGCCTATGACCTCAGACAACATAGGAAGCTTACAGAACCCATGGAGTCATGCTATAGGAGGGATTGGGACAGTCAGTATCGTCGCTATACAGACTTATGTTCAGAGCTCCTGGATATCTGCGGAGCCCCAACACGCAAGCTGTCTCCCGAGGAAATCCACACATTGCTCCTTCTCCTACGATAGAAAGACAGAGAAAGTAAACTCAAGTACATCCAGTCGAGGCTGGGTGACCCAAAGCTCCAAGTGCACATTCAAGGCTTCGAGGAGATTAACAAGGAATGTGAAGAATGCGTTAAGAAAGAGAAAAATGCCCTCCAGGCAGCACTCAACGATGCACTTCGGCTGGAAGTAGTGTCAAGGGAGCAGACCACATCCGACATAGCTCCTCGATCGCGTGTGTCTTCTTCCCACTATTCTAAGAAAGCCTCCTCCCTCCATCCCAAACCGGCTAGTTTGCAAGCAGGTTCCAGTGTTTTGCGCCAATTCTCTGCTGCTGGGTCTCACCATCCTTCCAGAGCATCCTCCTGTCGCAGTGGAGCATCTAAGGCCTCCAAAGCAGCAAGTTATGCCGACCAAGCTGCAGAAGCTGCAGTAGCAGACACAGCTCTATGCGCCACAGAGGAGGTGACACAGCAGGAGGCAATAGCAGCTCAAGCAGCTGAAATGGCCAAAGCTCAGGCCACAGCACAGGCCAAATTGGAGTTGGCCGAACGGTGAAGAGACTCGGCATCAAAGACGGCACGGGCCACAGCATGGCAGAAGATGGCAGACAACGCCCCCTTCAACTTCGACCTCAAAGAGTTGGGAGAAGAGAGCCCAGATACACGGATCAAGGCCTACGTGGATGAGCAGCACTCGCTACAAAACGAGCATGTGGAACCGCCTCAGTTACCTAGAAGTCTCTCACAACCAGGGAAGCACAGGAGTGAATCTCAACCACAGACTCTAAACCACAGTCACCCAACTGATGTCGTATGACCTAAAGTCCGAGATTCTCTTCCCAGATTTAGCAAACCTACCAATGTCTCATGGCCTGCTGGGCAAGCAACGTGGCCCATCAGTGATCACGATGACTTCTCAACAAGTTGATGTGCAGCCAACCACAATTGCCACACTCAATCCACAGGCAAAAGGGTTCTTGCCACAACTGCAAGACAACTCTAATGCGCAGTCTGGAACCTACACCCGACCTCAAGAGGTACTACCTGCATATGTGGGGATGGAAAACGACCTCATAAAGTACTCTGAGGAGAACCATGAGCTATAAGCCATAATCATCTCAATTATGCCACATCGCAGCTTGAACTATCTTGTTTTGCATGTAATGAGTGTGTCTCATATATTAGGTTCACCTTTTAAGTTGCATTACTGAAATAAATGAACTTTTGCATGATATTCTAATTTTTCGAGTTTCACCTGTTTAGTGATATAAGGAAGATACATTAACTTGGTTAAACAAATAGCATGATTACTATTGTTATTAACAGTAACTTAATTGATACTACCTCTCTTGGTAGAACACACAGAGGAAGCAAGATACACACACACACACACACACACACACATATTTCCCATGCTTTTCTGGGCTATAAAATTAAAATTTAGAGGTACTCACCTTCTTTCCAAGCAGCCTTTGAGCTCAACACTCAAAACCCCTTTAAAACCTTTGTTCCAAATGGCCGAGGTCCAGGAAAACTCACCCACAGACTCAATGGGTCTCTGCCGGCAAGGGTCTGCTTACCTGGACAAGGTCCATTGATCAGGTTAACTTGGAGTCCCATCTGCTTGGGTGCCAAATTGTTGGAAGAAACATCCTTCTGGGTTCAGTTCCAAGTGGGGAAAAAGACACTGGATTTATGGAAGTTGCTTGGAAAGAAGGTTTAATGGTGGACAGGACCACATGCCTTGGAGCTCCTGGGCGAAAAGAGAAGGGATGCTGAGAATCCCTTGGTTTCATAGCCTCTGTTGGGCCCCACCTTAGTGTTTCCTGTTCCT